AAAAGTTTGAGAAGTTAGAGGGTTGACATGTTGTGGGGTTGTTAACCAATGTCATAAAACAATATGTGTACTACGGTTTCATGAGAAACTATTTGTTCTTTAAGCATTCACCTGAAGTACAATAAAAAATAAAAAAGTTCGGTGGAAGGTAGAACTTGTAAGTGATGAACCTGAATATCTGGCTGATGAGACTTCTAAGCTAGATCTTAAAGGGACCGTGTGGTTTCTCCTTGCTGCTTATACTAAAATGCGAGAGGAAAGAGATAGACTTAAAAATAAACTGTGCAAAATGAAAATAGAACTTAAAAGATATAGAAAATCCTGTTGTACAAACTGAGGTCACATGTCCTAGGATGCTCACCAAGGACGTGGCTACACAATCTTTTGTTAAATATATTAAGCCTTTGACTGATAGATCTAACCAACTACCACAGCAGAAAACCTATCAGCTTAGACTGAAGAGGACAGAGAAAGAACAAAAGGAAAGAACACCATCTGCCTCTTGGAATTCTACAGGCAGGAAACAGGCCAAAGGAGCTACATTTGTTGTCCTCCAAAAAAAGAAAAGGACCACCCTTGGAGCAGCTCAGATATCAGCAGAACTGTTGGAAGGAGCATGGGAAGCTGGGCCTTCTCAGTTTCAAGGGATGGGGACATGGTCTCCTGGATCTCAAAGGGTGAGGCCACAGCCTCCTAGGTTTCAGAGTCAGATCTTTGCCAACTCAGTTCCAGAGTATGGGGTTGATGTTAAGATGTGCCAAGGCAATGGAGCCACAGTCCAAAGCTGAGGGGGTGGGGCTACCATGCCCAAGGGGTAGAAGAATGGAGCTTGCCATGGGCTGAGGGAGTGGGGCTGTCACTCAGATGGAGAGGGAGAATGGAGCCACCCAAAGCCAAGGGAGCAAAGTTACTGTACCAGTGGGCCTAGAAGGTGGAGCTGAAGCCCAGGGCTGAGGGATGTCCACCTAGAATCCAGAGGGCATGGTCAACACCCAGAGCCTGGAGGGTACGGCCATTGCCTAAATGGTCTCAAAGAGAGGATTATTTTCAAGCCTTGAGAGATAATGTAATTTGTTTTGCTGGGTTTTGTACTTGCTTGGTGCCCGTTATCCCTTCTTTCCCTCCAGTTTCTCCATCTGTAATGGAAATGTCTACCTTGTGCCTGTTCCACCATTGTACTTTGGAAACAGTTAACTTGTATTCTAGATTTCAAAGGTTCACAGATGAAGAGGAATTTTGTCCCAGGATGAAATAAGCCTAAAGTTTTACCCATATTTGAAAGTCTCACCCATATTTGATTTAGATAATTGAGAAGATGAGATTTTGGACTTGGAGTCAATTTAAGACTTTGAGGATGATATAATGGGGTGAATGTGTTTTACATGTGGCAAGGACATGAATTTTTGGGGGCCAGAGGGAGACTGAATTGTGTCGCCCAAAAATATGTGTCAACTTGACTAGGTCATGATTCCTAAGTATTGTGTAGTTGTCCTCCACTTTGTGATCTGATGTAATTATCTTCCATTTTGTTACGAGTTGTAAATCCTAACCTCTGTCTGTGGTTATAATCCTATTTGTGCATAGGTTGTAACTGCTATTGATGAGGCAGGATTAGGCTATGTTTGTTATGTTAATAAGGTAAGATTAGGCTGTATCTTGAATCAGTCTCTTTTGAAATATAAAAGGGACTAAACAAGCAGCAAAAGAAGCAGAGATGGGGGAAGAGAGATGCCAAGCCACGTGAACATCACCCAGGAGCGGAAGCTCAGAGAGACAAGGACCTTCCTCCAAGCCGACACAGAGAGAAAAGCCTTCCCCTAGAGTCAGTACCCTGAATTCAGGCTTCTAGCCTCTTCAACTATGAGAAAATAAAATTCTGTTTGTTAAAGCTACCCACTTGTGGTATTTCTGTTATAGCAGCACTAGATAACTAGGAGGAGAAGGATTTTATCTGTTTGGGGAAAAGGATAGGATGGGGCAACTTGAGCAAAAGGCAGAAGGTGCTAAAGTGCACACCTTACACTTAAACAATTACAACTCCCTCAACCCCCCCCCCCCACCCCATTTGTTTATGTCTTCTATCTCTATCAAGACTAAGCTTCTGGAAAATAAGTATATTTTATGTTTGTTTGTATTTCCCCTTTTTGTAACAGAGTGCAGCTCATAAGAGTTCATTAAGTGAATGAAGTGCCAAATGAGTAATACAGGCAAAGAGTGGTACAGAAAGTGAGAGGTGGCACAGATGACAAATATTTATTGAGAGGAAGACAGATTAACTGTCCTCCAAGAAATTAAACACAAAATTGAAAATTTTTAATCAATCAAAATTTCACACATTATGCCAGCTACCATAAGCAGGATGTTAACATCAATTATTAGCAGTTCCTCTGAGAACTAAATACCTTTCTCACCTGTAGCCACTCTCTTTCTATCAGGGCCTCAAAACCATGGATGGTCCTGCTTCTTGGTTCCAAGATAATCTGGGCCAGGGAAGTAACTTGAAGTGTGGAATCAGTTCCTTCTGTTCCATGAATCAATACTGATGCTGCTTCCCTGATAGGAAAATCCAGAGTACAAATGTGATACTCCCTACATGGTCAATGAACTCTGTTAATAATAAGCATTTACTAAGTACAATGTTTTCAGGGTCTTAGGCAGTCTGCTCTGTCCAGTAGGGTTTACAGTATAAATAAGGCATATGATAGAGAGATTCTCTCGGGGGGGAGGAGTTGGGGGGTAGATACAACTATAACAAGCCTCACATTTCACATGGCAAGAACCCCTTCAAGCTATAACAATTCTTATACAACATTTTAGCTGAATTTTCTCTCCCTTTATAAAACCAAAAAACAGACTTTATCATTCCGGGTGCTCTACCTTTTCTGCATTAATAGTTGATTAAAGTCTTTTCTCATCAAACCTAGAAACATACACTTAAAATTATTTTTCTGTATCTCTCTGACCTTGATTCTACCTTTCCACCATCAGCTGATTTCAAGGACACCTTCAGAAACTGTAATGAATCTGGGAAACAAGTCCTGAACCACACTTTGAAAAACATGAAAAAACACAAACATAAAACTGTCAATCTAGAAAGTAGCAATGATACCCACTATCTCACAATAACTATGAGATTTCTGGTACCCCATTATTCTAAAGAGAATGAGAGGAAATACCAAAAACTAATTAGCTACATCTTCTCTCCCTTTTATTGAAACAATATTGAAGAAAATTTTGGAAAAAAGAAAAATAAGTTCCGCATCTCTACATAACAGTTTCACGATCGTATACTACCATCAATTCTTTTCCCATGTACATATACACTTACATGGTTATAATAAAAGGTAATTGCTTATTATTTCTACTTTTTTATAAACATTTTCCCATGTTTCTATGTCATCTTTAGAAGTATTGTTTTAATGGTAATACAATATTCTATTAAGTGATGAACTATAATATACTTAATCTTATAGTTAAACATTTAGGTTACTGCCAATTTTTGTTACACCATAGATGATGTACATAGCTTGTTGTCTTCTGAATTAGTCAGGTCTTTTTTATTTGAAAATGACAGACTCTCTGAAGCTCACCTGTGGTTCTTAGGATAAAAATCTAATTACTAGGCTAAAAGGTACGAGCGAATATTTTAAGGCTTCTGATATATACTGGATACATATCTCTTAATTACCTGTGGGATATTCTGAATTTAATTCAATTAATTTAAGGCCTACTTTTACATTTTGAGTACTTAGCTATAAGGACAGATTTTAATGGAGGTACAAATAATAAGCTAACACATACCAGAAAAGGGAACCCAAAAATGGCAAAACAAAACCCCCAACCCTCACAAGAGTTTTGAAATCCCTATTTGTTTCAGATCATCAACCGAAACCAAACAAAGGTGAAGATAATAAATACTGTTCTGTACCTAGGGTAGCCTTGATCTGTATCACCTGGTTATTATGGCTGAACATTTAAACAATATTAAAATTGTGATAAACATCTATTACAATTCACTTTCCATAAGAAAACAGAAGCCTCTGTATTGATCATGTAAGAGGAAATCTGGTAAACTTAGGTTAAAAAGACATGAAACCCTTAATGTTAACATCTCCCCATTCTGTATCACTAACTTCCCTGCCACAGAACCTTGGTCTTTAATTCCTATATTTTATTAGCTACGCGAGCTTCATCCTAAAACAAAGAACACTGAATGCCTGGGAATCCTGACACCAAACCTGTTCTTGGCTCTGTCACTAACTTACCACATGATGTTAAGCAACCCACTCTATTAACAATTTCTCTCTAACCATGAAAAATTACATTTATATTTTCCTAATTTGGAAGCATCAATAAAACAAATTAAACTCTCGAAGAAAATTGTCACCCAACTATGTGGTGGCAATACTTATACCTACCTATTGTTTCAGTGGGAATCCCCTTCTTAAAAAGGGCATTCTAAGCTTCTGCAACAATTTATACCAATCCTTCTGCCTCTGTTCAAGTCTTCTGCCTCAAGTCTCAAGGATTAGCAACCTTTAACTGAGTGAATACACTAAAATCACTTCATATACTTCACATCACTAGCATTATGTTTTCTCAACTTGAGATCCAGATATAATTGCACAGTAGTTTGTAATAAGATATTTGAAAGATCAGAAAAAATCATTTTACTGTGTAACAAGATTACATTTTTTCCTTTCATTTATATTTCGAAAGTAAGGAGGCAAACTTGGTCCTCTGAGACAAGAAGAAAACTTTCATTCCTTTCTACAGTTTAGGAAAAGGAAAATTGATACATTCACAATTTAAGGATTTTATAGGAAAAACAGGTCCTTTAGTATTTAAAAAATTTGTCATAGAAAATGTGTATATATACATGGTTGGAATTCATTCAACAAACATTATCTATTAAATGCCACAATTTATGTACATACCCCATCTGTAACTCAATGGTATTAACTATCTTATATATAGTACAGGCATACCACATTTTATCGTGCTTCCCTTCATTGCACTTGACAGATACTGTGTTTTTTACAAATTTAAGGTTTGTGACAACCCTGCATCAAGCAAGTCTATCGGTGCCATTTTCCAACAGCATGTGCTAACTTACTGTCTCTGTGTCACATTTTGGTAATTCTCGCGATATTTCAAACTTTTTCATTATTATTATATCTGCTATGGTGATCTGTCATCAGTGATCTTTGATGTTAATTGTTTTGGGGCACCACGAACTGTGCCCATTTAAGACAGTGAACTTAATCAATAAATGTTGCATATGTTCTGACTGCTCCACGGACCAGCTGTTGCCCCATCTCTTTCCCTTTCCTCGGAGCTCCCTACTCCCTGAGACAGGCAATACTGAAATTAGGCCAATTAATAACCCTACAATGGCCTCTAAGTGTTCAAGTGAAAGAACGAATCACATGTCTCTCACTTGAAATCAAAAGCTAGAAATGATTAATCTTAATGAAGAAGGCATGTCGAAAGCTGAGACAGGCCGAAAGCGAGGCCTCCAGTGCCAGATAGCCAGATTGTGAATGCGAAAGAAAAGTTCTTGAAGGAAATTAAAAGTGCTACTCCAGTGAACACACAAATGATAAGAAAATGAAACAGCCTTATTGTTGATATGGAGAAAGTTTTAGTGGTCTGGAAAGAAGATCAAACTAGCCACAACATTCCCTTAAGCCAAAGCCTAATCCAGAGCAAGGCCCTAACTCTCCTCAATTCTATGAAGGCAGCAAGAGATGAGGAAGATGCAGAAGAAAAGTCTGAAGCTAGCAGAGGTTGGTTCATGAGGTTTAAGGAAAGATGCCGTCTCCATAATTTAAAAGCGTAACGTGAAGCAGCAAGTGCTCATATAGAAGCTGCAACAAGTTATCCAGAAGATCTAGTTAAGATGAAGGTGGCTACGCTAAACAACAAATTTTCAATGTAAGACAAAACACCCTTATATTGGAAGAAGACGCCATCCAGGGCTTTCATAGCTAGAGGAGAAGTCAATGCCGGGCTTCAAAGCTTCAAAGGACTGGCTGACTCTCTTGCTAGGGGCTAACGCAGCTGGTAACTTTAAGTTGAAGCCAACGCTCATCTACCATTCCGAAAATCCTAGGGCCCTTAAGAATTATGCTAAATCTACTCTGCCTGTGCTCTATAAATGGAACAACAAAGCCTGGATGACAGTACATCTGTTTACAACATGGTTTACTGAATATCTTAAGCCCACTGTTTAAGACCTACTATTTAGAAAAAAAGATTTCTTTCAAAATATTACGCTCATTGACACTGCACTTGGTCACCCAAGCGCTCTGATGGAGACGTACAAGGAAATTAATGTTGTTTTCATGCCTGCTAACACAACATCGATTCTACAGTCCATGGATCAAGGAGTAATTTTGACTTTCAAGTCTTATTATTTAACAAATACATTTCATAAGGCAATAGCTGCCATAGATAGCGATTCCTCTGATGGATCTAGGCAAAGTAAATTGAAAACCTTCCAGAAACTATTCACCATTCTAGATGCCATTAAGAACATTCATGATTCATGGGAGGAGGTCAAAATATCAACATGAACAGGAGTTTGGAAGAAGTTGATTCCAACACTCATGGATGACTTTGAGGGGATCAAGACTTCAGTGGAAGAAATAACTGTGGTGGAAACAGCAAGAGAACTGGAATTAGAAGTGGAGCCTGAAGATGTGACTGAATTGCTGCAATCTCATGATAAAACTTAATGCCTGAGGCATTGCTTCTTATGGATGAGCAAAGAAAATGGTTTCTTGAGATGGAGTCTACTCGTGGTGAAGATGCTATGAACATTGATGAAATGACAACAAAGGATTTAGAATATTACATAAACTTAGTTGATAAAGCAGCGGCAGGGTTTGAGAAGTCTGACTCCAATTTTGAAAGAAATTTTACTGTGGGTAAAATGCTATCAACCAGCATCGCATGCTACAGAGAAATCTTGCATAAAAGGAAGAGTCAATTGATGCGGCAAACTATATTGTTGTCTTATTGTAAGAATTGCCACAGCCACCCCAACCTTCAGCAACCACCACCCTGATCAGTCAGCAGTCATCAACACTGAGGCAAGGCCCCTCACTAGCAAAAAGATTATGACTCACTGAAGGCTCAGATGATGGCTAGCAGTTTTTAGAAATAAAATATTTTTTAATTAAGACATGTACATTGTTTTTTTAGACATAATGCTATTGCACACTTAACAAGACTATAGTATAAACATAACTTTTATATGCACTGGAAACCAAAAAATTCACGTGACTCATTTTATTGCGATATTCGCTTTATTGCGGCAGTCTGGAACCAAATCTGCAATATCTCTGAGGTATGCCTGTAATTTATAAAATGATCTGAACATAAGATATAGAATAGGCCCTTAACATAATATGCAAACATATGTCTGGATAAAAGCAAAGTCTAGTTATCAATATATGTGACATTCAGGAACGCTGAAATGCACTTTACCTGTCGATACACTGAGCTGCTAAACAGGCAGTTGTCAGAATCTCTTTGATGTGAGTCAGCCAGTTTGAGGTCTCCAATTTACTAAGCCATCGGTCCATGCTATGTGTTTGGTCATTGCAAGCTTCCACAAGTTTAATTAAGCTCTCCTGAAGAATGTGATACCTTTCAAAAACAAAGATAGAGGAAAAAATTAAAAAAAAGGAAAACAGAATGATAAAGGAAAAAACAAACCAAAAACTCAACCTCCAATATATCCAACAGCAAAAGTAGCTCAAACTATGTTAAAAATATTTATCTTGCTATATAGTAACCTGAGGATTGAAAAACTAATATTTAAAAATAGTTGCAAAGATGCTTAAAATGCCTGTCATGATAAACTCTACCACATTTGAAATTAATCTCATTTCACATAGGTGAACTGCCTGACTAGAAGAGAGGACCAAAGTACTGCACTTTGTGAAAGGTCATACACATAGCACCACTTACATTTGGCATCGTTTCCCCATTGATCTAACACGAGACACTCTGGGATCATTAGTGATGTACAAGGCCATCTCTGATCCCATTTTGCTTTTGCTTTTTTTTTTTAAACTCCAACTCCCACCACCCAGAAGCACTTACAAACCATTAATTTAAAGTGTAAACAAGAGACAACAGAGGTGGAGGAAGCAGGGTGTGAGAACAGATGAATATATTTAAATCTCTAATGTATTTTGACTGAGAAAAATATAATTATATGTAGCATATCTGTTCAGTAAGTTTGACCACCATCATCTACACTGGAGCAGACCTTGTGGTGATAGGATTTCAGAGCAAATTTAGAGAAAGAATGGCATTTGATAATACTCACCTGTCTACAGCCAAGATAAGTCTTTTGTTTAACTTATAAAAAATACAATGAGAGGATATTCAGCCATTCTTTTACTCTGAGTTAATGCGTAGGTTCATTTAGACACTTATGATTTTTGAACCACTAAGGGCCCAACAGGAGTCTCCCTGGGTGGCACAAATAGTTAAGTGTCATACTACTAACTGAAAAGTTGGCGATTAAACCCACCTAGGGGTGTCTTCAAAGTAATGCCTAGCAACCTGCTTCTAAAACATCCTAGCCTTGAAAATATTATGGAGTGCAGTTCTACTCTGCATACAGGGACTGAATCCACTGCAACTAACAACAACAAAAACAAGGGTCTACCCACTCTAATTAACTTCAAGTAAGAGTCCATTACTCGCTTTGGAATCTTTTACCTCTCAATCGACTTATGAATTCGCCTCCACTGGGGATAATGAGCCTCTTGTTCAAAGCCGCCTCCTTTGGCTCTAGCTTGCTGAGCCACATTTAGCGATCGGGTGTCAATGATGTAGCCCCGTTTTCCTGCCCGAAGGGTAGCATTTATCAGCTTCTCATCTTCCTTGCACCGTCTCCCATTTGTGCCAGTGAGTGGCTGACCACTTCGCATAATTACCTAAAAACATAATACAGTTTAAAATGCAACAGCAGCTGCTTTTAAAGTTTCTAAAAACAGAGATGAATTAGCTGGATTAAAAGTATCTCAAAAACAATTCTGTGACACTTTTGAGATGGATCTGATCCTAAAACAAAGAAATGTTTCCACGTATTGACAATAGTTAATAACTGTAAAATAAAAATAGGTCTTGTAATTTTACAGTTTTTCTTCCTACAATCTCAAAATACTTTCACATAATAAATTATAGTATCAAATATTGCAATTCATTTAGTCAATGAACTGAATACCCAACAGACCTGGCCCTGTAATGAAGACAATAATAGCCTATTAGCAAGTAAACCTTTACTTCAACTACATAATATCTAGGGTTGGCAGGTTTTAGCAAGTATAATAAAGAGAAAAGGCACCAATGGTGAAGTAGAAAACTCTATGCACTATTCTTCTTGCTTTGGAAAGCATTTTCAATATTTCAAGAATTGCTTGTCTATTATTTATTCTGCAGTTGCCCTCTTCTATCCTTTTCAATATTCCAGGACTTGAGCACCTGTCTCCAAAGACCACCAGCTATGTTTTTGAAAGGTTTACTTTTGAAACTTTTCTCAAGAAATCAATATAATCATCGACCACAATGATCTCTTCCCTGGTGAATGGTTTAGGGTTATTCCAAGAGACCCTATAACATATACTGTTACCTTAACTACCTCAAAATTTAACATGACCAAGAAAGGTCAACCACAGGATAACATTACTCTGAACCAACTTCTTTCAGACAGTACTTACCATTTAAATGGAGGCAACATTATATTTAACATCAGTTGTTAAAACGCTTTATAATAAATCCTACTGAAGGACAATACGACTGGGCAAGCAAGACAGGTAGTCTGATGATAACATAACAAATTTTTAAAAATTGATTTATCTTAAATATCCAGGTTTTTTACTTATAACCAGGGGTAAAAGGAAAATGGGAGATGGCTATAACTCCTCCACTAATTTATTATCGGTCTCAAAATCAGAAGCAGAGTTTACTGACTAAGAGAAAATGAAAAGGGAGAAACAAATTTAGAAAATATTTAGAAAACAAATATTCTGCTATATCCTTTTTAAGATATCATTCAAAGACAGTAAAGTATAACAGAGCTATCACATGCCTATTCAATTCGACTTCCAGATTTATTTAAATTGTGACTAATGACATGTCACGCTTCTCCCTTTTGAAAATGTCTGCTCAATTCACAGTTCACATGGAAATTTGGTTAGAATAATTAAAATAAAACGGTATGGATTGAACTGTGCCCCCCAAAAATGTGTGCTGTAAATCCAAACCTCTATGCCTGTGGTTACAACCCCATTTGGGAATGGGCTGTCTTTGTTATGTGAATGAGGCAGGATTAGTGTAGCATGTGTCTTCAGTCAATCTCTTTTGAGACATAAAAGACAAGACAAGCAAGCCAGAGAAGCAGAGACAGGAGAAGAGAGATGCCAACCCACATGAAGATGGTCCAGGAGAAGAAGCTCAAAGAGACAAGGACCTTCCTCCAGAGCCAAGAGAGAGAGAAGCCTTCCCCTAGAGCCAGCACCCTGAATTCTAACTTGTGGCCTCCTAAACTGTAAGAAAATAAATTTTTTAAAGCCACCCATTTATGATATTTGTTATAGCAGCACTAGATAACTAAGATGTAAAGTGTTGTTAACATTATTATGGATAGAGAAATTTATTTTTCTACCTCAAGAATGTTGTAAGCATCAAATAAATACTAGTTCTCTCTGTACTGTGTCTTAAAGATAAACCTATCTGCATTTTTCTAAGGTTGAACAGCATCTTGGAAAGAATTCAGAGTCATATCTCAATCCAGGGCTTTGAACCCGTTCTTCCCAGTTCAGTCATGGACAAGGAAGTGAAACCAGAAGAGATTCGAATTTTGAAAATTTCAGTGAAACAGAACGATAACCAGAACGGGAAAATTACAGGTCGAAGACCTGCCAGAAACTTAATCTCCCTCTTAGAAAACAAGGGCAGCGTATGCACTGCACAGCAACCAAATCTCTTACCTGTTAGATTAAAGCAGAGTCAGAAACAGCAGTGCCCCGCTCAAAGATGGTGACCAACCACGCTGCTTTGAATGTGTGTCGCTCTCCACAGTCCTGCTGATAATTCAATCTCACACATCAGGCTCCTGAAAGGGCTCGCTATGCCTCTTCCAAGCCTCCCATTCCAGGGCTTTGACCCATAATTTTTCCCATTCCGGTTACTGTTATGGATCACTCAAATTGTAAAAATTCAGCTCTGTTCTGGTTTCGCTTTGTCAGTCATGGCTTACCTGGTTCAAAAAAATTCAAACCCCTTTCCTGATCACAGAAAACACCCTACACCTATTCCTTAAAGTTTAAATAAAGGAAGTCCTAGCAGGAGAGACTTGACTAATCACTTCAATGAAAAGGTTCTCAAACCAAGCCTTTCAGTAGCTCAAACAGTAGTGCTGTACACTTACCATTCCATTTTTTTTATGATAATAACTTAGTACTGGGAAGCGTCCTCCATGTCGAAATGTAGCTACCTTTCTTACAGCTTCATCATCAATGGAGTTGGGTACTATGACAATCGGTGGGTAAGAGAGGCAGACAGCAAATTCCTTATTGATATAGCTTAGCCTCCATTCACTGGTCTGAAAAACACAAAACACTTCAGGGCTAAACAAGTATTTCAATGTCACAAGATAAACTGAAAAATTGTAGAGGATTTTAAAGACTTTCACACAATAGAGAAACCATCTCTCAGGAATTTCTCTAGCCTACATAGTCATGTGTCACTTAACATCCAAGATAGGGTCTGTGAAATAGGATGTTAATGTGATTTGGACGTTGTGGGAACTCTATATTATTTGCCAGGCAAATAACCTCCCTCTACAATTTACTGTGGAGCACCATTATATGCCTGGCAGCACAACTGCTTTGTATACAAGAGACATGAGATACATGTGTTGCATGTGGGAAGCTGCTGCATTTTCCACGTCCAGTTAACATCCACTACATCCCATTCTCCAATCGAGATTTCTGAACCCTATTATAACCTCATGGGACCACGGACATATATGCAGTCAGACATTGCCAAAACAGACGTTACGTGGCACATGACAGTACTTAAATACTTCGAGAGAAAAAGAGCTCCATTCTTCAGGGTCTGCTTTCTGCGTTGCTGAGCAGCCCTAGTTCATAGAAAGTTCCTCCTCATATTGACCAAAATCTCTCTGTAACTTCCTCATACTGAGCAAAATCTGCTCTTTAACTTCCTCTTGGTTTTTACCATGATTCCAGACAACACAGGACAAGTTCCCTATTTTACATGGCACCCTATCAAATACTGAAAAGACAGTTTTGCCTCTAATTAGTCTCCTACTCTCCAGTTAAATTTAATAAATATACTTATAAGGGCTGTGATTACTAGGGTCTGCATCACACCATTCACTCTTTTCTGGGTACCATTTAGTTTGTTAATTGTCCTGTTAAAGCATATCACAGGAAGACTGTAATCCTCCAGATAATGCTTCACCAGCACAGACTACAGCTACTACCTACATCAAATTCTTTGTTCCTTTCTGTTATTTAAAAGGGAGAGAAATATAGTAAGATTGGTAATGTCTTTCTTAAAACAAAAATGACTTACTACTAAGAAAAGTTATAGGAGTAAATGAAATCTAACTCAGTATGCTAAGGATGGAAAACTATTTCTCAAATGGTAACTTATCTCAAGTATCAAAAATGAAAATGAGATGAAGATGGTAAAAAAACTTTTTACAATTAAAAAAAAATCAAATTATGTATACGTAAATTTCCATTTGTTCCTATAAATCAAGAGGCCTGACATATCGGCCAGGTTGTTGTTGTTTGGTGCCGTCGAGTCAGCTCTGACTCTTAGCAGCCCTATGTACAACAGAATAAAGAACTGCCCAGTCCTGTGCCATCCTCACAATCATTGTTGTGCTGGAGCCCATGGAAGCAGCCATTGTGTCAATCCATTTCATTGAGAATCTTCCTCTTTTTCACTGACCCTCTAATTTACCAAGCATGATGTCCTTCTCCAGGGACTCGTCCTTCCGGATAACATGTCGAAAGTACATGAGACGAAGCCTCTCCATCCTTGCTTATAAGGAGCATTGTGGCTGTACTTTTTCCAAGACAGATGTGTTCGTTCTTCTCGCAGTCCATGGTATATTCAATATTCTTTGCCAACACCATAATTCAAAGGCATCAATTCTTCTTTGGTTTTCCTTATTAACTGTCCTCATGAGCACAATTAGGTGTTCTGGAATTCCCAGTCTTTGCAACGTTATCCGTAATTTGTTATGATCCACACAGTCAAATACCTTTGCATAGTCAATAAAACACAGGTAAACATCTTTCTGGTATTCTCTGCTTTCAGCCATGATCCATCTGACATCAGTAATGATATCCCTTGTTCCATGTCCTCTTCTGAATCCGGGCTGAATTTCTGGCAGCTCCCTGTTGATGTACTGCTGCAACCATTTTAATTATCTTCAGCAAAATTTTACTTGTGTTCGATATCAATGATAGTGTTTGATAATTCCGCATTCTGTCGGATCACTTTTCTTTGGAATGGGCACAAACATGGATCTCTTCCAGTCAGCTCTCCAGGTAGCTGTCTTCCAAATTTCTTGACATAGACAAGTGACTGCCTCTAGCGCTCCATCCATTTGTTGGAAAATCTCAATTGGTATTCCATCGATTTCTGGAGGCTTGTTTTTCACCAATGCCTTCAGTGCAGCTTGGACTTCTTCCTTCAGTACCATCGGTTCTTGATCGTATGCTACCTCCTGAAATGGCTGAATGTTTACCAGTTCTTTTTGGTACAGTGAGTCTATGTATTCCTTTCACCTTCTTTTGATGCTTCCTGCATCGTTTAATATTTTCCCCATAGAATCCTTCAATATTGCAACTCAAGACTTCAATTTTTTCTTCAGTTTTTTTCACTTTGAGAAACGTCAAATGTGTTCTTTCCTTTTGGTTTTCTAACTCCAGGTCTTTGCACATTTCATTATAATACTTTGTCTTCTCAAGCTGTCCTTTTGAAATCTTCCATTCAGCTCTTTTATGTCATTATTTTGTCTGTTTGTTTTAGCTACTCTATGTTCAAGAGCAACTTTCAGATTCTCTTCTAACATCCATTTTGGTCTTTTCTTTCTTTCCTTTCTAATGACCTCTTGCTTTCTTCATCTATGATGTCCTTGATGTCATTCCACAACTCATCTGGCCTTCAGTTGTTAGTGTTTAACACGTCAAATCTGTTCTTGAGATGGTCTCTAAATTCAGGTGGGATATACTCAAGGTCGTATTTTGGTTCTCATGGACTTGCTCTAGGTTTCTTCTGCTTCAACGTGCCCTTGTATTTGCGCAATTGATGGTCTGTTCCAGTCACCCCTGGCCTTGTTACGACTGATATTGAGCTCTTCCGTCGTCTCTTTCCACAGCTCACTAATGCCTAGGACATTGATGTTTATGCCTTCCATTTCATTTTTGATGACTTTCAATTTTCCTAGATTCATACTTCCTACATTCCATGTTCCAATTATTAATGGATATTTGTAGCTGTTTCTTCTCATTTTGTGTCATGCCACATCAGCAAATGAAGGCCCAAAAACTTTACTGCATCTATGTCATTAAGGTCGATTCTACTTTGAGGAAGCAGATCTTCCTCAGTTGTATTTTCAGTGCCTTTTAACCTGAGGGGCTCATCTTCCGGCACTATATCGGACATGTTCCACTGCTATTCATGAGGTTTTCACTGGCCAATTTTTTCAGAAATAGACCCCGTGGTCCTTCTTCCTAGTCTCTTTTAGTCTGGAAGCTCTACTGAAACCTGTCTACCAAGGGTGACCCTGCTGGTATTTGACATACCGGTGGCTTAACTTCTAGCATCACAGCAACACACGAGCCACCACAATACAACAAACCAACAGATGAGTGCTGGCTATGGGTTGTATAATACTAGGAAGACAACTGAAGTATGTTAGTTAGATGCACCATAAAACAAGAGTAATAAAAAAAAAATTCTATAAAATATATTTTCTTAATTTATTTAAGTTTCACTTTTCAAAATTATTCATGTTAACAATTTAACAAGATAGTTTCTAAAAGATTCATTACAAAAAAAGAAGATAGTTCCCTGTTTCCTGCTTACCATCCCAATTGCCTTTCCCCAGAGGCAACCACTTTCAACTCTTGCTTTTTGTTTACTCCCCAAATTCTAAATAAGATAATATACTATTATTTCTTGATTTTTTTCATTATAAAGTATTATTTATTGATTGCCTACTCTAACGATGATATATGATTTTTCACTGATATGCAGTGTTACTTCTATCTTATATATATTTCCGTATGTATAACCCCAAACCAAACCCATTGCCATTGAGTCGACTGCAACTCATAGCAACCCTATAGAACAGAGTAAAGCTACCCTCATAGGATTTCGAAGGCTGTAATCTTTATGGAAGCAGATTTCCACATCTTCCTCCTGTGGAGTGGCTGGTGAGTTCGAACCACTGACCTTTCCGTTAGCAGCCGAGCATTTAACCACTGTGCAACCACGGCTCCTTTCCATATGTATAGGACTCTCTATTCTGTTCCACTGGTTTGTTTGTAGTAGCTACAATAGCTTTTAAAGAAAGCTTGATAGCTACTAGGGTAAGTTCCTTCCTCCCCTTTTTGTTCTTCAAGAGTACCTTAGCTCCTTCTGGCACTTTGCTCTTCCATGTAACTTTTATCAAATTCCATGAAAAACCCCACAGGGAATTTAATAAGATTGCATTGACTCTATAGATCAATTGGGAGAAAATTATAGCTTTACAATGTTCAGTCTCCCTATCCGTGAATATAGTGTCTCTCCATTTACTTAAACTTTCTTTAGTTATTTTTTATGAAGTCTTATAAATATCTGAATAAAGATCCTGAATATCTTTTCTTAGCTATATTCCCAGGAACCTTATATTTTTTGGTTGCATTTTAACTGTATCACTCCAAAATTGTGGTTAGTGTAGAGAAATGCCTAAAATCTGAAAATTCTTTCAAAATTCTTTCAGTTCCTATGTAAATGAGCATATAATCAATAACGGCAATTTTACTTCTTTATACCTTTTATTTTTCCTTCTGTCTTACTGAGCTAGCTATGACCTTTAGTACAATGATGAAAAGGATTAATGATGAGTATCCTTGTCTTACTCTTGATCTTAATAGGAATGACAGATGTAAGATTTGTTGTACGTTTTTTGGTAGATATGCTTTATTAAATTAAAGAAGTTCCCTTCTAATCCATTAATGCTGAGTTTTTTATCAAAAATAAATATTTAATTTTATCAAATGTTCTTTTCTCCTCTGTTATTTTTTTTCCCCTTTAATAAGTTAAATGCTAACTTATATCTACAGATCTTCTAATGCTAAGCCACTTCTGCATTTCTGGGATAATCCCAACTTGGTTAAGTAATATTATCTTTTTTATGTACTTCTGGATTTGGTTGTTTAGAATTTTCTCAATTTATGTTCACAAGTAAGAAAGGTCAGTAATTCTTCTCTTAAATTTGTATGGTTTTGGTTTTTAAGGTTATACTGACCTCAAAGAATGAGCTGGGGAGAAATTTCTTCTTTTTATAATGCCTCAAAGAACTTATGTAAGATTGAAATTATGTTTCCTGAGGGTTTTGGTGAACTTTTTTGGAAAACTCACTTAAGCCTGATGTTTTCTTTATGAGACAATTATTCTTTAATGGCTATAAGATTACCCAGGTTTTCTATTTAATTTTAAATCAATTTTGATGATACATTTTTCTAAGAATTTGCCTATTTTGAAGCTTTCAAATTGAGTGGCATAAAGTTGTTCATAATATTTAATTATTATTATTTTTATTTCTTCTGAATCTGTAGTTGTGTCCCCATTTTCATTCAGAATATTACTTGCTTCTTTAATTTCTCAATTAGTGTCGCCAGAGGTTGGTCAGTTTGGCTTTATCTGATCTACTACATATCTGTTTTCTTGTTCATTAACTCTTGCTGTTATCTTTATTATTTTTTTCTTTCTACTTACATTATCTTTATTTTGATATTTCTGTTTTAGTGTCTTAGATTAGGTGCTTTGGTTCATTAATTTCCAGACATTATTTGAATATATCATATAATATAAACATATGTAATCATGAATATGTCATATTCCTTTCTGAACACTGTTTTTAACTGTATCCTAAAAGTTTTGACATTTAGTATTTTCATAATTGTTCATTCAGATCAAAGTATTTTTCTTAATTTCCATTATGATTCCATTTCTCAAGTATGTTTTTAATTTCTAAATATATGGAGTTTATTTTTAAGTTCTTTTTGTTAATGAATTCAAACTTAATCGCTGTGAGGTCAGAAAATAATGATAAAAAAAACTAGCAGCAATAATAAATAAAATAATAAAAAGCCATAAGAATAGTATATGGCTAGTAAGTTTATACTATTCGCCAAGTATAAGTTTACAATTTGCCATGTACTGTTCTCAGGGCTTTCCAAGGAAAAACTTACTCAATCCTCATTGCAACCCCATAAGGTTGCTATTATTATCATCCTCAAATTACAAATGAAGAAACTAAGGGATAGAAATGTTAACTTGCCCTAGATCTCACAGTGAGTGGTGGAGCTTTGATTCAAACCAGGTAGCCCAGTCCAAAGTCTATCCTCCTAACGCCTACCTACACTTAGGGATAGTAATTCTCTGAAATTTATTGAGACTTGCTCAATACATAAGTTTATCTTCCTAAATGTTCTGTCCATGATTAAATATAATAACAAAAGGATATTACAAATTGTTGAGCATAGGATTATAAATTTCTAGTTGGTTGTTAATTGCATTATTTAAATAGTTAAGAACCTTGCGATTATTTTTGTGTGTTTTAATTACTGACAGGTGTTTTTAAATTGCCCACAAAATAACAAATTTATCAATTTATTCAGTTTTGTGTATTTTTGCTTTCTATATATCAAAGCTATGTTATCAAGGGCATGTACATTTAAGAATGTTATACCCTCTAGTGAACTAAATATTTTATTATGATGTAATATAATAGCCTTCCATATCATTATGATTTCTGCCTTAAAGTCTATTTTGTCTGATATACTTCTCTGAAGAGTGTTAAAGTTTTTTGTTGTTTTAGTAAACAATTAACTTGGTTAGACTTAAACTGTAAACTCTATTAACACCTCTGGTGCACAGCAGCTCAGATCTTAGTTCAGACTGCTTTCAGTCTGCCCCGTGCAAACATGGTTCAAGAGTCAGCCAGAGATTTGAGCACTTTATATATAGAATTTGAGGTTCCCCTTTGTTATGGGTTGAATCGTGTCCCCCTAAAATGTGTTGGTATCCTAACCTCTATACATGCAGATGCGACCCCATTTGGGAATAGGGTTTTCTTTGCTATATTAATGGAGCCACATCTGTGTAGCTGTTAGGGATTGAATTGTGTCCCCCCAAAATATGTGTTGTAAATCCTAACCTCTATGCCTGTAGTTATAATCTCATTTGGTAATGGGTTGTCTTTGTTATGTTAATGAGGCAGGGTTAGTGAGTCGCTCTCTTCTGTGATATAAAAGAGATTAAACAAGGAATCAGAGGATGAGATGGGGTATGACAGATGCCAAGACACAAGGATATCTCCAAGGAACCAGGAAGCAGAAGCTGAAAAAACAAGGACCTTCCTCCAGAGCCAACAGAGAAAGAAAGCCTTCCTCTTGAGCTGGCACCCTGAATTCGGACTTGTGGCCTCCTAAACTGTGAGAAAATAAATGTCTGTTTCTTAAAGCCACCCATTTCTGGTATTTCTGCAGCACTAGATAACTAAGACACGTGTCTTAAGCCAATCACTTTTGAGATATAAAAGGAACAGACAAGGCACGGAAGCAAGCAAGTACAAATGGGGAAAGATAAATGCTACGTGGAGATCTCCAAGGAATGCTGAGAAGAATGCTAGAGGAGCTGAGACAAGGATTTTCCCTCAGAGTAGATGGAGTGAGAGCCTCCCCCTAGAGCCAGCACCCTGAATTCTGACTTCTAGCCTCCTAACCTGTGAGAAAATAAATTTTTGTTTGTTAAAGCCACCCACTTATGGTATTTCTGTTACAGTAGTACTAAGAAACCAAGACACCCTTCTTTGGCTCTCTCCTTTCTGGGGTTCCTGTGTCTCTCGTTGCCCCAGGATCCTTTACCTTGTTGTTTCTATCAGAGAGAAAGTGCGTTTTGTCTTGAAATTTTATCTCTTCTGTACCACTACTGCCACAACTGTGGCTGACCTCAAGACAAAGTCCCTAAAACAGGAAATTCACCCTGTCATTTGCTTCCTTCAAGTTCTGACTTCCCTCCAAAATATGCCCCACATATAAGAAGGTAAAATTCCCTTTCTTTTTTCACTTTGCTGCACCTTTGCTCTTTAAATCACACAGTATCCTGGTCATTACTTCTTGATTCCTTCAGTACCCATTTACAGAGGTATGATGGAAGAAGTAAAATGATGAAGGATGCGAAACAAAAGCTGGTTCTAGTAACCTGGTCTTGGCAACCCAAATTATAAAAACACAAAAATTATCCCATAGAAACACATGTGGTAAATGGTTCTTTAGTAGTGTCTTAGGCACACAGTGGGTTAAATGGGCTTTGGACAGTCTCAGAACCTAATTACTACACATAAAGCTTATTCTATGGACACACTTTTAAAACACCAAACAATTAACTTATAACATACCAGGACTATCTTTACTCAGACCGTAATGTTATATCAGTGTCATTTTTCAAAATTGAAAAAGAAAAAAGTATTACTCAATAATTAGTAAATCCATTGGAATAAAATCATTTGAGCAGCAGCACTGAGAACAAATTATCAAAAAAAAAAAAAAAAACCCTAAACAAACCAAACCAGTTGACATTGAGTCAATTCCAACTTATGATAATCCTATCCGCTAAGTAACAAAGACTGCAGCACTAACAGCCAGTATATACTTTTTTAGGCATGGATAAGTCAACTTTGCCTTATTATTCTTCAAGAGGAAGTGATCATTTTCAAAACTAAAATAAGGTGCTAGGTATTTCTCATTACCCATAGTTCTCAAAAGCTAACTCACAGCTGAAGAGTAAAGTTCAAACTCTTGCTCAGGAAGGAAGGAATGCCAGCCATCTTCTACCACTTCAAACATGGGCCGGTAAAAGAAAGGGTACATCAGAGTGATGGAGTCCAGGGTAGACAAGGCCTAGGGGGTAAAGAGAAAGTAAGTAAACCAAAAAGGAACATACCACCATATGAACAAAACACTTTTTAACTGACCAATTGGTATTAAACAAATATGTTGTAATAATGACGGGCACCCAGTATACTTCTGTAACATTTTACTTATCACCAGATACAATTATAGTCTTATTTGAAGTGAACTTCCTTGCTTCCAGCATCTAAAAAGGTATCAGGCACATAACATGCATTCAGTAAGTGTTTGCTGAATGAATAAAAGAATGAAAAAATGTGGTGCATGCCTATGCTAGGAGAAAAATGAAATGACTCCTTCTTGAAACAATAACATCTAATAAAAACATCCAAATATTTCTGGGGATCAGAGAATAAACAGTTTTGGGGTAGTCGGTAAGGCCTTCGCTCAAAAGCCACTTATTAGCTATATAAATGTATGCAAATGATTTAAAATCAGTGTCTGCTATAACTATAAAAAGGGTAATAAAGTTTAAGACTGCCAGACTCAAATTCTAAATCCTAACTGTGTAATAGTGGTTAAGAAATTTAATCGCTTTATCCCTCAATTTCCTCAATTCTAAAATGAGGGGAAATAACAGTTCCTACCTCATAGGGTTGTTGGGTAGTTAAGAGAGATAACATATATAACATATATTATAACACTGCCTGGAACATAATAAACTCTAGAAAAAAATTAGCTATTATGTGGTCTACATATGTAGAAACTCCATAAATGTTCATTTCTTTCCTCTGTGTAGCGATACGCCATATGGTCATGTATCATCATATTGTTATATGACACTGACCCATTTTCAAGCTAGGGCAATAACTCTATGGTCCCAAAATGAGACTATATTCATCTTTAGCACTTGGATTCTGGGAGACAATACCAGAAAAACCTGACTAGACAGGAGGAGCAGACAGACAGAACATCCTCCATCACCTGGCAGATTCATTCTTCTGGCAGGGGCGTTATGGAAAGCATCTCTATGGCTGGGAATAAGGGCACCAAAATCAAATAGCATAATTTAAATGGCATTAATTATGGAGCTATTCACCTGAGATGAAGCTAAAATTATGCTAATATGGGGTGGGAAGGACAACTCTAAGTACTGTATACTAAAACTCTCAGAATGAAGCTACTTCTCTGTAGTTCAGCGCACAGATAGCACAGTGGTTAAGAGCTAGGCTGCTAACCAAAAGGTCGACAGTTCAGATCCAACAGTCGCTCCTTGGAGACCCCATGGGGCGGTTCTACTCTGTCCTGTAGGGTCACTCTGAGTTGGAATCAGCTCAACAGCAATGGGTCTCTGTAGTTCACAGTAGGATTAGGCTCACAAAAGATTGGGCCTATGACTTACTAAATGATAGACTGGACACGTAGTTCTCCAGTTTAACAAAAAATCTCCATCTCAAGTTATTTTTCTATCTGTCTATATATCATGAAGACTTCCCCCAAAGTTTATATAACAGGAAATATGGAAAAGCATAGCTGTATAATCCATTACTCATTTATTTATATTGATTTCAGCTGCAATCACATCAAACAGAAGTAGGAATGGTAGAGCTGCCATCAGTCAGTACAAGCATTATTTTAAGTGCAAGGCAGCAACTACTCTGGCATGCAACAGGAACTCTTATTTCAACCTGTCATGATTATATTTTATGTCAGTAGAGGTAAGTCTTCTCCTTTAAACCCTTTAATGCTGAAAGAACTGAAAGCACTGCAACTTCAAAAGGTAGTTTAGACAATGCAGAAAAAGGCTTCATCAGTTTTCCTGATACAATTAAAAAACTGAGCACTTGTCAATTATTCTTTCAAAGGGATTCTATTTGTGGCAGCCGAATATATTTGGGTATATGAATTCTTGATCACAAAGAATAGCTTTACTATGCTATGGGACCAAATCCATTGCTGTCGAGTTGATTCCGACTCAAAGGAACAGAGTACAGGACAGAACATACCAAACTGTCTCGTAAGGTTTCTAGGCTGTTATCTTTATGGAAGCAGACTGCCACATCTTTCTCCCACGTAATGCCTGGTTGGTTCGAACCACCAATCTTTCAGTTAGTGACTGAGCGTTTAAACCACTGTGCCACCAGGGCTCCTCACACTATATGAACAGGGGCAGATTATCCAATAGGCAAGGTAAGCATGGTGCTTACCAGATCATCTGTACTGAACAATTTCACATTTCTTCACCACCACAAAGATTCTGCTTCTAGGTACGACTGGCATCTGTCTCTCTCCCAGCCCCACAGCATCTTCTTACAGAATCAAAGCCTCTTTTCAAATTTACAATCCCTGACAGTGGCGATGACCCAATAAGCAAGGTAAGAACAGGCTTACTTATGCTTACTACTCTGTAGTGAACAATTTCAAATTTCACATGGGTTTCACTATATCTTTGATGTGGTAAAACCCATGTGAAATTGCTCACTAAAGATGATCTGGTAAGCAAGGTAAGCACTGTGCTTACTTTGCCTATTGGATAATCTGCCCCTGTATATGAAAAATTCACTTATTTACTCCTAAAACCATTTCAAAATATATACGGGTAGCAGAAGCAGGGGGAGTGGAGTGGGGCTGGATACCAGGAAAAGGACAGAAGCCAAGTTTTTCTATTTGTATTCATTGTGCTATAAAAACACTCAAAAGGGTATTTGCTTTTCTGACATGAATTTATGAGGATGGTCTCATAATTCTACAGCTTTTTTTCAGCCCCAAGGACTTCTATATAATGAGTTGGTTTTTAAAGAGCTTTATGTAATGTATACAGCTAATTAACCAACTGATTAGCGTAAAATACTACTGAAGCTAAGTAAACACAATCAGCAAGTGGGCTAATATGCTTTCCCTTTTTCTTCACCACTGTGCTTCATGACAGACAACATCTTAACACCTAGGCCAGACATCTTACAAGCCACTGGTTACAAAAGAGACAAGAAGAAAAATGTAGACTGGTCTGCGAAAATCCAATGTACAACCGAGGTAAAAAAATGCATACTCAACTGAAGAAGGTCAGTAGCATTACTCTGCCCAAATAGTATTTTTTCAATTTAGCAGTCTAGAAGCTATGATGAGTTTCTTGCTCATGTTAGCAAACTAAGCCAAATCAATATTATGTGTTATTTCCAAATGACAGATGGGTAAGAAAAACAATTCAGCTCATCTTCTCATTCCTTCAGTAAAATTTAGCAAAGGCAGGAGGCAGGGCCAAGATGGCAGACTAGTCAGATGCACTAAGCCATCCTGCTGCAACAAAAACCTAAAAAAACAAGTAAAACAGATACAAACATCAATTCTAGAACCCTTAACCTTAAATGAAAGGAAAAAGTATTAGATTGGAAGTTACTGAGGAGAAGAAACTGAAGAAAACAGAGAAGGAATAGAGATACAGAGTGGAGCTTCCTGACCAAACGGCATGACTGAGCATTGCCATCTTGGAATATAGCCAACAACAACGCACACAGAAAGACATCTCCATGGAATTCCCAACAGGAGATAATGGTATGGTGCGGACACACACAGGACTAAGTAAGACCACATTTGCTGCCTGCAACTCAAGGAGAAGCGCAGACCCTCTCACCCGGTAACCACAGGAGCATACTCCTACAACCCCATCACTCTGGTGCACCATAGCTGAGCGACCAGACCTGCACACCAGGACAAGATGGTGAGAATTATTGTGTCCACAGGCGAGCAAGCAACAAAAACAAAGCACGCCTGCCCATCCACCTAGACATAACCAAAAAAAAAAAGCAGGACAAGACAAACAAACCTCCGATCAATAAACAAACAATACCTAAATGTCTCAGAGACAGCAGACAATATCAAAACATACCAAAAAAAAAAGGACAATTTGGCTCCAGTAAGCGACCAGAATAAAGCACCAGCTGACCTTCCAACAGAAAAAAAGTCACTGGCACTATCCGATAGGGAATTCAAAAGTCTAATATTCAGGGCTCTCCAAGAGATTAGGAAAGAGATCAAGGAAAACACAGACAAAATCATGGAAAACACAGACAAGATGGACCAAAACAGCCAAAATCAAGGAATACACAAAGCAATAGAAGAATTCAAGAAAATAATCCAAGAATAAAGTGTCAAAATAAACAAAACAATTAGAAATCATACAAAAACAGCAATTAGAAATCCAAAAGATAAACCACAAAATTTTAGAAATGGACAACACAATAGAAGGTTTTAGGAGCAAATCTGAAACACAGAGGACAGAAATCAGTGAAATTAAACACAAATATATGGATGCCACTTTGAGGAAAAATCAGAGAGAAGAATTAAAAGAAAAAAAACTTAAGAACTATGTGGGATACAACCAAGAGCAAAAATTTGCCATAATCCGAGATCCAGAACACAGGGAGGAAATGGAAAGCAGAGAGGATCATTGAAAATTTGCTGATAGAAAACTTCCTTAATATCATGAAAGAAGAAAAAGTGAGTATCCAAGAAGCTCAACGAACCTTACATAAAACAGACCCCAAAAGAAAGTCACCAAGGCATATCATAATCACACTCACCAAAAACAAAGCCAAAAAGAATCCTAAAAGCAGCTCGAGAAAAACGAAAAGTCACGTACAAAGCGGAAGAAGTAAATCTAGCTCTGATTACTCGGCAGAAACCATGCAGGCAAGAAGGCAGTGGAAGGATATATCTGTGAGACCTTGAAAGAAATAAATTGCCAACCATGAATAATATAGCCTGCAAAACTCCCTCTCAAATATGATGGTGAAATTAGGACATTTCCAGATAAACAGAAATTAAGGGAATTTGTAAAAACCAAACCAAACTTCTAAGAATTATAAAGGGAGTCCTTTGGTTAGAGAACTAACAACATCAGACAACAACTGGAATCTAGGACACAGGTTAGTATCAGCCAAATACTGACCTAGGTAATGAACTCTCCAGGATAAAACAAAACTAAAAGATTTAAAATAAGGAACTAGAGATGTCAATCTATAAATAACAACAATGTCAAAACAATAAAAGGG